CTGAAAACCCACGGCACCAACGGTCCTGGCGGCTGTCTGAGGGGCTGACCGCAGGCTTCCCACGACGCCTTGCGGCCGCCTTGAAGGAGATGCGAGCTGAGCTGGTGGCCAGCGCTGAAAATTGATCACCGCGACAAATCGCCTTTGACAGTAAGATGGGGATGCTGCTCATGTGTTTGCCGAGGGGAAGCCGCCTACGATGCTGGCAGGCGGGCATGGAGCCTCCAGAATTCAGCCGCTCCAGACGGAATCGTGCACGTCAGGCCAGTTCGACATGGAACATGACATCCGTGCCAGTGCCACAGCATGAGAGGTGCGATGTGTACTGCTCTTCGGAGGCCTTCGTCTCGCGTATATAGAGACATGCAGTGCCTGCACCCTCAATGTGCCAACTGTCGTTTTGTTTGCTCCTTATTTTTGCGAACACATGTAACGGCAGGTGAGCAGCTTTGCAAGGATGCATATGCACATACGCATGCAAGTACAAACACATACTATTAAGATATATATATATACATTTACTGATATACGCATGTAGTGTATACTAGTAAATATGTATACACATGCAAGTATTACCTGCACACATATATATATATATACATATATACACATACATACATACATACATACATACATACATACATACATACATACATACATGCATGCATGCATGCATGCATGCATACATAAATACATACATACATACATACATACATACATACATACATACATACATACATACATACATACATACATACATACATACATACATACATACATACATACATACATACATACATACATACATACATACATACATACATACATACATACATACATACATACATACATACATACATACATACATACATACACATACATACATACATACATACATACATACATACATACATACATACATACATACATACATACATACATACATACATACATACATACATACATACATACATACATACATACATACATACATACATACATACATACATACATACATACATACATACATACATACATACATACATACATACATACATACATACATACATACATACATACATACATACATACATACATACATACATACATACATACATACATATGCACACCATATCACATGATACACATGTATTGGCACGCCTTACCATGCAGCTTTTGGATTGCTTTTTGCACGAGATGTTTGGATTGTTTCTTGCACGAGATTTGATCAGAGAGGGCTACGGCACATGTTGACCTGGATCCTGGCAATTGTTTCATGTACAGCTTTGTGGATATTTGCATCAATCGTCGGTACGATTGATGCGCCCCTTGCGATGTCCGACAAGCAGTTCCGCCAAGGTTATATTGCTGTTTCATTGACGCTGGTGGTGAGGTGTGTTGTCGGGATCGCTTGGTGTCGGCATGTTGGCCAAGTTGCTGTCGACTGGTGTGTCCAGCTGATCGCTCTTGAAGATTTTGTCCGGAGCCTGCATGATAGGTCTCCCCTGCCTTTACCAGCAACCTGGTGAACAGGGGACCCTCGGGGGGCTGAATGGCCTCGTTCAGCCACCCAAATCTCGATCGATTGACTGGCGTGGATCCAGCGTGTCAAACTTGCGGAGATGGATCCGGAGAGACTAAGGTTTCAAGAACAACCGGAATCTGGATCAATCCTCGTATCCAGTTATGCACTCGCAGTGCGCCCTCTTTGAGTGGGAAGTTTTGATGGGGGTGTCTGTTTCGTTGTTAAAGGGAACCAAAGTGAAGCCCACCAGTTTGGGGTTCCCCTTTGAGACATACCCCGATGGCCACCGCCTGCAGATGTGAGAGTCTGCCGCCAAGCCGCGGTTATTTCGGCCAGGAGTGCCACCAGCTCAAGCGGTCCTTTGATTGCTTGCTGAAAACGGAAGCGACCTGATGCAACGGATTGGTGATGAATTTAGGAAGGATGCCATTGGATACACACACACATTCACACATGTCCCTCGACTTCAACCGCTGTGCGACTACCATGAATTTGCTCGTCTCAAACGCGCAGAAGTAGGTTGCAGCTACAAATTAATTCTACACCAACATATTTGCGTCGCCCTGACCGGTGCCCTTATATTGTGCTGTACTTCGAAACAATGCCTTCAGAGCTCCATTTGCATTCCTTACTTTGCACATGTGAAAACCCCTGGGACCCCCCATGATCCCTGTGACTAAACCTGGTTTGTGCAAGCCGAATATTTTGAGGGTGGGCAGCGTTTTTGGCAAACAGTTTTGTTTTCTTCTTCTTTTTTTATGTGTACCAAAAACATGTATTGTAGCGGCAATCAATTATTAATTATTACAATGGTGCTTGTTTAGAGATTGAACAACCAGGAAGTGCGGTGGCTGCTGTTTGCCCAGAGGCTGAGGTTTTTGAGCCAGTGCTGGGATGCTTAGTCTCAAACCCCGGACGGACCTTCCTTCCTTCCCATTTGCGCCGAGAGGGGGTAGTGTTGGGCAAGGTGTAACGACTAAGGCCCACATCTCAGGGAAAATCACAGGCGCCAATCTGGACCTCTTTTGGGCATATTTTTTTACATTTTGAGGCTCGCTAAATACCGCCCAGAATCAGACGTATTATTTTTTGGGATGTGGGCAAAAGCTCCGAGGTAGCTATGCAAGGGGCGGCTGCATGCTGAACACGAGCCATGTGATTTTGTCATGAGGATTTGTAAACAACTCGAGTGGCGTCAGGCGCGATACTGATTTGCTGGTTGTCCTACGTATTTGCAGGAGGCCGTCCGGCAATGTGAGGCGAAGTGGGCAGCAGGAAGGGTGCAACCCTTGCAGACGCGGTTAGCCCTCTCCCAGCCTTTTGAATTGATAGTCATTGCGATTGAGCTGTTCTCCCATCTGAGTTGTGAGGTTCTCAAAAGGAAGGGTGTAAGATTTAGAAGCGCCCGAGTTCGCGTAGTTCAGCGACTCTTCTTGCTGCTGCCTGTACACAGTGTGCCATACTTTGAGTTGCCGGGCCTGGCTTGTGCTTCTCCACGCTAGCATCCCTGCTTCTCGTTTTGGGCAAAGGGCCATAGATCTGTAACATGGTAGGTCAGACATGTTCATTGCCCCTCGGTGCTTGGGGATTGATCCTTGTTCGGGTTTCGAGCGGCAACTCCTATCAGGACTTCGGCTGTGAACAGTTGAATGTCTCTCTTCAGGACCTGGGCCACCCTCTTACAAGGAGCTTTGTCCAGGGCATTGATGGCCTGTCGGGGTGGCGCTTACGGCGCCTTTTGATGCCAGACACCTCTGTATTTAATGTTTGCTGGCAGTACAATGGGGGGGGGGTGAGACACCGGTTGCCCTGGTTTCTTCTATTGCTGCGAAGGTCAGCGGCAAGTGTTGGTCAGGGCTTTGGTTCATCCGGTGGACCCATGCATTCAACACATCGTAAGGATTGCCTGGTGGAGACGCCTAGACATTCACGTGCCAACCAGCATGCTGAGTTTTTGAGATGACACCTCCAAAGGCCGACATGGAACCTTTCCATATTGGCCACGCCACAGGGAGGTATGCGTGCAAGGTTACAGAGTCAGAGTGGCGAAGAGGGAAAGCGCTGTGAAGGAGGTACGTACCGAATTATGCCGCTTTCTCTCTTTGCCGCTGAAGTGGGTAGCGACTTTGCGTCAGTTTAGCAATCCTTGCCAAGCCATGCATTGGGCCCTGACGAGTGATGGAGAGATGACTTGCTGCAAATCCAAGGTGAGACATTTTTGCCACATAGTTTTTTCCCGACCCCCGCTCTGTCCCATGATCCATCAGGATTGTCAGTTAGAAATTGCAACCTGGGCCATTTGATGTAGATTTGCCACTGCGGACAAACAAAAACATACCCTGAAGTAGGGGAATAGAACATCCCGATTTTGATGGTTGTTGTGGCTACTGAGAGGTGCTGCCACCTCTTGCGGTTGATAAGGATTGTCATCCGTTGAGTTTGCTTGGCTGCGGTCCGCGGTTTAGGACCTCAATTTTGCAAGCAGGGCGCAACGATACACCCACACATTTCGTGCAACTTACGATGGCGTGCGGCGGATTCGCTTGCAAGATTTGGGGGGAATCCTACACGCGTTTGCGTGTCGAATAGGGGCAGGCTGTTCACACGAGGGGACCAGCCATTTAGATGAGTCCCACCAACAGCACAGGCATTTGTCAGCTGAAGCTTGGCTGGGTTGCAGGGCGAGTTGATCCCACCTTTTGGGCCAAAAAGGATGTGCCGCGCGGCACACCGCAGACTGGCCACGAATTCGTCTCGTGCCTTAGAGGTGCCCAGGCCGCTTGCCACAGACCGATTTTGAGAGAAAGACTGCGGGGGAAGCAATGCGCGCGCCTTGGAATGGCCTTGGAGCCCTCAAGGAAGGGCTCTCAGTTCAGACCCCTCCCGCTCCCCATCCTCAGTTCTCAGCGTTTTCCTTGCGGCAACCTTACCAAGTATTGTATTAGATCAGAGAACCCGTGGCACGGGACGCCATAGCGCGTTCGTGCTTCAGGCAGTTTCAGGCAGAAGCACACAATGCCCTAACCAGAGGTGTGGAGAGGTGTGCTCCGAACCTCCCCCCCCCCCCCCCCCGCGCAAAAGAGAAATAAAAAAAAACACCAATTGCCCGGTAAGAATCCTCCTTGCACGTTAAGGGAAGCCAAGCTAGAGCATGGACATTCCCCACCAAATTTCCATGTCACTTGGGGATGCAGTGGATGCTGATCCTGGCCTAATGAGGTTCATTGGATTCACTCAATTTCCCAGGAACACAAGGGGGACTCACAAA